ATGTAGCAAGCTTTGCAAAGAACAAGACCATTTATGAGCGCCTTGAAGGGTGTGACTCCGAGGAACAACAGGAGTTGTGTGGTAAAGAGATCAAACGAATGATAACCTATTAAGATAAGCTCTCTGAAGACTTAATTAAAAAAGACTCTGTTGTGCATATTTACATTGTTCTCTGACAAGAAAGAAAATACTGTGGCACGCGTTCCTTTGCTGAGATCTGTAAACCAGATTCCAGTGAGAGATTCGGGTTCACACGAGATGTTGAAGTCATAGCATCTAATGAAACCAGAGAAGAGGATATGAATAGTAATGATAAACCAAGTGATATCTTACCGATGGCATTGCTTACTCTCTCAGATACCCTCGAATTCATCGAAACCAATCCTCTTTTAGAAAGATATGGGGGAAACAAATGTTACTGGGTACATATCAAGCATCCAATGTCAGCCATATATTTTACCAGGGAGATTAATTACATGGACTTTTTTGGTTGTAATAGCAAGAATGGTGGAGAATTAAAATACACTGATACTATAGAAAACATACATGCTCAACTCAAAAAACATGATAGTGTGATTAAAGGTGATATTGATTTTTATAAGCAGAAAAACGATATCGACGAAGCCACATTGGCATTTTTCAAGGAACGTTATGCATTTGTACCCGATCTAACATGGCTCAATAATCATAAAAAAACAAAAAAATATACCAAAAAATCATTGGTCAGGACCAATATCAGCACCCTTGTTAGTAATCGACCATCTAAACATACCAGAGAAATTGTAGGTAATGAAAATGAAAGAGAGGTTTCTCGGAGTAACCAAGCAAAAAAACCAAGAAGAAAATAATAATATTTATATATTTGCTTTAACATGATTTATTATCAATAAAGGTTTAAATAAAAATATCAATAGTTTATTATTATATTGTTAATAAATTTTCAATAAACATAATTCAAATAAACTTGTTCGTTTTCTTAATCTGATAAACTTCAACGAATTCCATCTCATGAGTACCACTTGTAAAATCTGAATTGTATGAATTGATTTCATATGTCCAGTTATATCCATCTATACGTAAATCACCCGACCCAAACGTAGGTCCATAGTCGGTATTAATTCTACAATTATTGTTATTTTCTTTCGGTGTTGCAACTTTAACACCATCATACATATCTATATGAAATATAAAACTATTTGTTGTATTAACTATTCCTCTATCCCATAAATTATCATTATGCCACCCGACTATATACGAAGACAATCTTTTCCTTCCTAAAATCAATAATGATTTCTTCTCTTCACAGAAGTTATAAAGGTCTTTTCCAGACATCTTTTTGAATATTTTAATCCTAACAAAGATCTGTTTGATATGAAATATATATGAAAAGATTGTTTTTAGAGTACCTAAAAGTGAAGTATTTAAAATATTTAACATGTGACTGATATTCGTGAATCTTATCCAATTTATACCATATTTTGGTATATACCAAGAAGGATTTAATTTACTTCTAAGAACATCCTCTAAAATATCTTTGTTTATCGTTTCGTGTTCTTTCCATAGTAAATCTATAATCATGCTTTTTTCGATCTAATGCACTCTCAGGTCTCTCAACTCTATATTATACTTCTTACATCGAATATAGAACAACAATTCACTCTCTGTTATACCAAGTTTATCATATCGTATTAGATATTCCAGAGTTTCAATATTAAACATTTCATTTGTATCAAACACTAATATCTTGATATCTTTAACAATATCATAAAATAAAGATTCAAACTTTTGTTTGAATATATTGTGATCAATTATAAATTCAACCAATGTCACCATATCTTTTCCTATGAACCTATCAATATCAGAATATAGGTATTGTACTACTTGGGAAGAAAGCTCCTCTAAGAGAAAAACATCGCCCTCAGTTAAAATTTCGAGGATAGTTCCCATGTCAACATCTTTTAGATCTACAATGCTAGTATATATATAAAGAATGATCTTATATAATGTGAAATATGAAATATTTGCCATGAGCTCAATATGTGACTCATCTTCGCAAGAAGTCCATTTCGGTGAGAAAAGGGTACGAAAATACTTTGATCGTGCATATAATATCTGGGAATGGGCATGTAATCTAGGTTCTGTCTTAAATATAACATCGGTATTCTTACCATTCTCGAAAAAGGTTTTGA